AAAAATAGACTTCTATTTTTGACCAAATAATTAGAGCTACTCAGGAAGAGAGGAGTTACAGAGATTGGCATATTCGTCCTGTATGTACGATGTACCATACCTTCTCAGTAGCCAGAAAAATGCCTGTCACTGCTGTCTCTTCTGCTGCGTCAAAAATATATATTTGACTAAAAAGGAGCAGAAAGATTAAAGAACATCCCTTTCCTTGGTCATTGTAAAATGATAGATTTATCACTTTACCATGACTTTTAAAAAAGTGTACCCTTGATTTATATGCATGTGTAATTTAACTATGAAGCACACCTCACAAAATATTTTAAGGGACAGAGTCATTAATAAGTGCTACTGTCACACACCTGTAATCATTTTCTTGTGAGTTTGTGTTATCACCTGCAAACTGGAGAGGAGACATATTTAAGGTATTAAGAATGGCTTTCTGTTGTTTACTGAAGTACTTTAACATTTTGCAGAAAAGGTCTCATTAAGACCAGCCATCTTCCTGCACCACCAGATAAATTATGTTGACAATAACTCTAGAAATCCTTATTTCACTTCCTCTAATCATTCACAGGAAATGTAAAGAATTCACGCCATCTGGTGTGAGTCCGGATGAACAGCACATATGAGAAATGTCAGGACAGGACAGCGAGCATTTCACAATGAGCACATCTTAGCATAACACATTCGGGCGACCATTTCAAGCTTAATTTTTTAGACAGAAATTTGAGAGATCGTCAAAACATCTGCTTCGCATTGGAATTATTATTTCTTTTCTGGCCATGACCTCATAAAAAGCATTTGGACAACACCGGCAAATTTATTTTGAGTGCTGAGAAGCACAGGAAGAGCAGCAGGCAGCAGCAGTATTCAATGACTAACCCATTCTGGAAGAAGGTATTCACCAGGCTGCAAGGTCTGCTCTCAAACTCACAATCTAACTTGATGAAAGTCAAGAAGATGTGCTACAGACATGCCTAAGAATCAGAAAAGAGCTCATCTGTTTTACAATCTCTCTCCAAGTGGGTTATGAATGTTCTGTGCAAGGGCACCCCAGAACGATTGAACCCTTGGCCAGAGAGCTGAGCTAGCTCTGTGCCTCACGCGTCATAGGTTTGAGTTTAGGTCAAATCATGAGCTGACTGTGACCAGGCTCAAGCTGCAACACGCATGGGATTAGCTCGAAACGGTCATCTTGATTCCCTGTGCCACAGCATGTGTCACGCCCTCTACAGCCAGAGGGTTCTCCTTCTCTGTCCTGTCCCTAGTTTCCTGTGCTTTGCTCTCCTCCCGGTGTCTCTCTCTCTGGGGCTATATATTTCCGGGTCACTTATTCTGCTTCGCTCAGCATTGACGTTCGGATGTCCTGAGACCCGCCTAGCACCAGGTCGCCGCTCCGTCCGTGGCCTGAGGGCATAGGTTTCTATACGGCATTTCCTGAACAGCTGAGCCTGGGCTAACCCCCGTTCCGCCGCTTCGCATAGGGTCTTTTTCCACTCTCCTGCCTCTCCACGGTTTATCCCTTCCGACATCCGTGACAGCATGTCAAAAGATGAACAGTTCTAAGGATGGGCATGTTTGTCCGTCTCGTCTTCCAGATTGGTATGGGAGCTGTTAACAGTCAGTTGAGGCTTCGGATGCCTTGTCGAACAATTTTAAAATCATGGGCACGGTACAAAATGTCGGGATTTCTGCAGGCTCAGCACAAGCCATTCAATAAAAAGATGTACAGTAAGTGGGTAAATAGGCCTGGTTTTTCAAACAAATCGAACATTCTCCCTAAGGAATACAACGTTTCTGTCTTTATGCATATATTATAAGTTAAAAGTAAGTAAGTAATGGATTGACTTGTATTTTTTTTTTTTGCCAGCACCCTCAGATCCAAAAGGAGTCTCAGTACATCAAATACCTGTGTTGTGACGACAAGTACATGATGCACCAGTGGGTGACGGCAATACGAATAGCCAAGGTGAGTTCAGTAAACCATGGAAAGACTCATCTAATCCCCTTTACAGGCTGGTCATGCTTTGCAATGAACGTCGATAAACAAGCCAGACCTGTTAAAGCTATTGAGATGAAACATAAACTGGCATTCAACAGTATGCCCATCAAAAGTCAGTTAGAAATGTATGAATTACATAAAATTCTGAAATACTGATCTACTCTTTATTCCTATGAAAAATATAGAAGAAAAAGACAAAGACATTCACCTTTTTGAAGTAGCTAGCACCCTGTCTTTTAGGTGGAAAAAACTCTTTCAGCTTTGTAATATTTTTAAACCTCACATTGTGTGTACTTTTAATAACAGTGCGTGGGGTTCTGAGGTTGGTTCAGTAGTATTTTGGGAAAGAGCTTGAACAATACAGGATGTGAAGTTCCTGCTTGTAGTGCTCTAGACTGCAGGATGTATTAATACAGTATAATTAAACACAACACCGGTCTCTGTTTTCCTGAAATGTTATTTGTCTTTCTTCTCTTTAGAATTAATTTTAAATAAATTTTATTATTAAAAAATCCCCTAAAGCTAAACTATTTAAAACTAAATTAAATTTAAAAATGGGTTTACATCACAAAAAATTCAAAATAACTTTTTATCTTTGACATCATTATCAGGTCTGCATCATGTTTTTCTTTCCTGGTTAATATAAAAAAAAATTAACCATTCTTGAACATATTAGGTCAAGATTGTGATTCTCAGAACTTCTCAAAACTTAAACTGTGTCAACTTATTAAAATAAAAATGCAAGCCAACTCAGACTAAAAAAACAGAAATGGTGATTGGATTTCAAACCTCATCACAATAATTGAAGATACAACAGCAGTGAACTTCACGTTAAACAGCAACCTTAAAAAAAGGTGGAAATTATATTCATATTAAAACCTACTTGTTGTGTCATTTGAAGAGGTATTTTCTGTATGAACTCCTATCTGTTTTGCCTTCCCTCAGTATGGAAAGACACTTTATGACAACTACAAAGTAGCAGTGCAGAGAGCTGGACTGGCCTCCCGCTGGTCAAACTTAGCTGCTGCAAACACCACAAAGTCTTCTGGACCTCCCAGAGGTAAAGGTAACCCTGAATTCTTTCTGAAAGCGTGAGAGGAAACATATCGAAACGCCTGCCAATTATAAACTTGGAAAAATAAAGATTTAAAAAAAAAAACATTTGAAACTTAGTTCAGCTCCAAAGTGTGCAATGCAAATTGGGAAACTTTTGAAAGATTCAGTTTTTCAGTAATAGGTATAGCGTAGTCTGTCTTCTGAATGGATTGTATAGACTTGTTCTGTAATTGTGTAAGATAAACCTGCTTTTTGGTTAAAACTGCAGCCCCACTAATAGGGAACCATTATCAGAAAAGGGTGGTGCAGTGGTGAGCATTACTGTCTCACAGCACTGGGGCCCTGGGTTCAACTCCTGGACTGCTATCTGCATGGAGTTTGCATGTTCTCTCTGTATTCATATGGGTTTCCTCTGGGCGCTCCAGTTTCCTCCATCAGTCCAAAGACATATTGGTATGTTAATTGGCTTCTGATACAGCCGGCCCTGGGGAGAGTGAATTTGTTTGTGTCTATTTGCCCTGCAATGGGCTGGCGTCCCATCCAGGGTCTTTCTCCTGTTGCTTGCCAGGACAGGCTTTGGCATCTCCAGACCCTGAACTGCATAAAAGCATTATTAGAACATGGATGATTTGATGGACATACTGTATCAGAAAAAAAATATCTGCAAAAGGTGACTACTTGTCTAATGCTGCACAATTCCACTCACTACCTAGACTATACAATAGGTGACAGTGGCCTTCTGCAGCAACATCAGCCTGAACATACCATAAAAAAAGCTGAGTTATAAACTCCTGTGACAGAAACACTCTTGAGGCATTGGAGGTTAAATATTCAAGTAACAAGGAAAAGTATCATGAGAGGACTGCAGATGAATTCATTATACTGTCTTGTGTAGAAATGGCAAGTAATATCCATGCGTGATAACATTCTCCTTGCTTTCCAGCAAAAGTTGCCATAGAAGCCAATGGGCATGCAGCCCAAGCCCCTGCACACACGACTCTCAGCAAAGCCTTCCCTGAAGCCTGGAAGCGGGCAGAGGCCAAGGTAGGGTGTCACGATCCTAATCCTTACTTTTAAGGGCGCTCCGGCTCTTTCACATTTTAGTTGATCATGTGCACCTGCCTCCAATCCTGCCCCTCCTTATTTAAGCCAGGCGCTCTCCCTACTCCCGGCTCTGCAATGGAAGACGGACGCCCGGAGGCCCGCCTACCACCAAGTCGCCCTACATCTGCGGCTTGAGGGCATAGGCCTCCTGTCGGCGTCCTGACCCTGCTGAGCCCAGGGTTCAGGGCGCCTGGCCTCGCCATCCTGTTTTTACTCCCCGTCCCTGTACCGGATTCCATTACAGTTTTTAACTGTGTCTTGATTTTGTCGCGGATGGATCTACCGGATTAGGACCTTGGACTTCCACGCCCCACGCCCCAAGCCACGCCCCAAGCTCCAGTTCACTGTCGTCACGCCCCCCCTGTTTGTCAACCTGCCCTGATCCTGGTCGTCTCCTCCCCATTGACCTTTTCCACTTCCAGATTATACCATCTGCATAGGGTCCTGAACTACGCATCGTAACATAGGGGAAGGGATTCTGAGACTACAGAACAAATCGCAATACGTTCCCGCTCTTAAAGATACTGTAATATGTGTAAATGTGAGCTCGGTACGCTGATGCATCATTATCAGGGATGAGCGGTGAGCAGGTCTGCTTTGTGCTGTTGCTGGGGGGAGGTGGTCAGTGTGCCCTCACAAGGTCAGATCATTAGCGTTTCAGCCCCAGAGGCTCATTTCAAATTTAGTTCAGGTCGCGGAAGGGAACAGTACAGATTTTTCACACTGGACATCTGTAATTGTTAGATAAGGGGGGAATGATTATGTCGCATTCATAACCTAATGTTACTTCAATACATCTTTCTTTGCAAAGAAGATACACATTAAGTAAGTAGTTTTGAAAGTTGAAGCTAACAAGGAATAAGGAAGTGTCAGTTTTTTTTGTTTTTTAAAAACACTGACAGACATTAAAAATGATATAATTGAGTGCAGGAGCTATAAGCATTTATCGTGTTTCTAGTCTCTCAGTTTAATTTTAACTGAATAGCAAAATTGTACATTTATATACGTGTATATTTCAGTCTCAGTTCAAAATTACACACAGTATGTAAGAACCCAGATAAGATACTGCAGATGCAAAAGTCTGATAGCTTGCTGCATGTAAAAAACCAATATGAGTTTTAGCTGAGAGTTGTGGGTTCTATATTTCAGTTGAATTTAAATTCAGAACCCTGGGGAAAGGAACTGCAGTCAGTGATTGCCAGACCTGCCCCCATCCCCCCCACCGTTTTTGTATCATCTGCAAACTATAGTTTGACTATAGTCACCACTATAGATCCGGAAAACCAACAGGCCCAAAATGGATCCTTGTGGTACGCCACTGCGTATATTTTATCAGTATAGTTATAGCTTGGGCCACTTAAAAAGACTCATTTCTGACTGTTTACTGACATTTTATGATGAACCTAATCAAAAGTCTCCTGAAAAGCTCAAACAAGTGTGATAAAGCTGTTTCACATTTACATGTTTGGTTCAATTGACAAAAGACATGAGAATTAAGTTATGCGGTACTGTTATAAATATGACTTCTTTTTCGATGTGAATTTAAGCTTAAGACGGCATGACTTTTAGCAGCAGAGGAAGGGAATCTGAAGGGAAGTTTTGCCTTTTTGTTTGACAGGACAATGCCAGGGACGGAGCGAACGATCCCTCCTCGCTGCCGCCGCCTCCAGAGGAATTCCTGCCCCCTCCTCCGCCGGACCCTGTGCTCCCACCACCACCTCAGCCCTGCCTCATCGCGGCCCCCAGAATGGCGCCCCCCCATGGCCAGCCAATCTGCTTCCCCCCTCCACCGCCGGCCGAAGACCAGTCCCTGCCCCCTCCCCCCGACGACCTCCCAGAGCCGCCCCCCGACTTCCTGCCCCCTCCTCCTCC